ATTTTGTTTTCAAGATTTTGGATCATTTTTATTATCATTATTCTAAATTCTTTTTCAGGTAGATTCCCTATCTCCTCCTCTTTTGTTTGACTTGGTGGGCATTTTTCATGTTCCTTTACCTGTTGGGTATTTCTCTGCCTTTTCATCTTGTTTAGATTGCTGTGTCTGGAGTGGGCTTTCTGTATTCTGGAGGCCTGTGGTTCCTTTCTATTGTGGAGGTTTCACCCAGTGGGTGGGGTTGGACGATTGGCTTGTCAAGGTTTCCTGGTTAGGGAAGCTTACTTTGGTGTTCTGGTGTGTGGAACTGGATTTCTTCTCTCTGGAGTGCAATGGAGTGCCCAGTAATGAGTTTTGAGAAGGGTCTATGTGTTAGGTGTGACTATGGCAGCCTGTAAGTTGACGCTCAGGGCTATGTTCCTGCATTGCTGGAGAACAACATATTATTTTATACCTAATAGTTGGTACCTTTTAATTCTCCATCCCTATATTGCTCCTCCTCCTTCCATCTCCCCACTGGTAACCATTATTTTTGGCTTCTCTGTATCTGTGAATCTTCTTTTTTCTTATATTCACCAATCTGCTATATATTTTCAATGCCACATATAAGTGATATCATACAGTATTTGTCTCTCTCTCTGACTTGTTTCACTTGGCATAATACCCTCCAAGTCCATCCATGTTGCTGTAAATGGTAAAATTTCATTCTTTTCATGGCTGAGTAGTATTCCATTGTGTATATATGTATGTATTCTATCTCCTATTTCCATTTATCTGTTGATGGACACTTAGGTTGCTTCCATATCTTGGCACTATAAATAATGCTACTATGAACACTGAGGTCATATAGATACAATCTATTAACTGCTTATTGTGGAAGAAAAACATGAGCTGTCAGTAGCCTCGTCCCACATTTTTCACATTTCTTTTCCCATTAGTCCTCCAATATATTTCATACTTTTTTGTTAGACTAATACTTAGTGTTTATATTATGTATATGTAACTATTTTTAGGATTTAATAATACACTTACAATGATTATGTTTTTAGTCCTGTATCATTTTTTTAATTTCCCTGGAATTAATGTCTTGCTTTTTTTTCACATTTCTTTGTTTGCTTGTCCAATTTTCTATGTTAATATTACTAGATAATTCCAAAATTTTCCATTAGAGTGCCACTAAAACTCTCCTCTTATTATAATCAAACTAATAGCTCCTATTAAAATAAACATAGGAAAAATATTTTGATTATCTAATGAAAATAAGCATCCTATTAATTTATATTTTTTCCAGTATTATTTGCAAGCTTTATTTAAATGAACATATATCTACAAAATTCCTGAAAACTTGGCAATAAAACATAGGAAAAGTATTTGCAAAGTAAAAGAAATAATATGGATTGAACCTAGGAAAATAATGCTTTTTTAAACATGTGTTTAAAGAAGTATTTTCAATACTCAACACTTAAGCAAAATGAAGTTTGAAATATATATAAACACACACATATGTACACAAACACACACACACACATATATATACATATATATGACATAGAGAAAATGTTTTAGGATTTCACTAAAATTCAACTGATGTAATAAAACTATCAGGAAACAATTGGACTAATCAAGGAATCCTGCAGCTAAATGAAATAGTATCTCTCATTTTATTTTTTAATTTTTTCATTTATTTTTATTCATTGGAGGCTAATTACTTTACAATATTGTAGTGGTTTTTGCCATACATTGACATGAATCAGACATGGATTTATATGTGTTCCCCTTCCCGATCCCCCCTCCCGCCTCCCTCTCCATCCCATCCCTCTGGGTCTTCCCAGTGCACCAGCCCTGAGCACCCGTCTCATGCATCCAACCTGGGATGGTGATCTGTTTCACCCTTGATGTATCTCTCATTTTAAAGACAACTCTGAGATACATTTAGGATTCTAGGAAGCTTAACTGTAAACAGAAGTAAACTCAGCCGAGCGAGCCCTGGTGGGAGACGGTCTAATGAAGCCAGCTGAAGCCAGACTGACTGCATTCTCAGCTCCACCAATTATTAGTTATATGACCTTAATAAATTCCTTTAAACCGTACAGTACCTATTTCTTCATCTGCAAAACAAAGATGATAATAAGAATATATATAAGAGTATATAGCAAAGGGTTGTTATAAAGACTAATCCATGCAAAAGGAAAGAGGGAGAGTCTACACAAGAAGAAAGCAGAGAGGTAAGGGAAAAGGAGATAAAAAACAGGTGTGTATGGACTGGACGCTTGGGTCTCTCAAAAGTCACGCCGTAGCCTAAAGCTCCAATGCAATGGCATTTGTTCATGGGGTGTTTGGAAGGTAACTAGGTCATGAGAGTTGGAGCCCTTGTGAATTTGGATTAGTGTCCTTCTAAGGAACTTCCTACCTTCCAGAAAAGCAAGAAATAAAGGTCTGCTGTTTAAGCCGTCCAGTCTGTGGCAATTTGCTATAATAGCCCACCCTGACTAAGACAGGTGGAAGAGGGCAGATGGGGAGGGAAGAGTGAGATAGAGAAGAATGTATGCATGTGTGATAAACACTGAGAATCACCAACAACAAGCTCTCAGAGAAGACCACCACAATTATATACTTTACAGTAAGCTGCAAAAACATCATTATAGCCCATAATATAGAAATAAATACTGCAAAATATCAAACAAAAGAACACTGTTTTTGTTTTTTTTCCTATCCCCTGAGGAAAAAACATACTAGTGTAGACTATTTCTAATTATAAAAAATACATTATTTTTTCTAGAAGAGAAATTTAACGTTACCTGTACAGAAAAATACTTCACTTCATCAAATGTAATCATAAAGTCCCTTTCAGTGTTTTGGGATAGCAAGCTACAAGTTTTTGTACATTTCACCACCTTGTTAATAGAGATTCGAATGAACAAATTACTGTAATGCTGGGAAATGACTGAAAATACATATTTAGGAAGCAAATTTCGTTGTGACTGAACAGTAACACATTGTAAAATTAACCCATTAAACAATTCAGGCCAAAACCTAAGACTCAATCAAATAAAGAAAGAAGTTATAGAGCATATTAAACAAAAAGGAAAGCCTTTTAAAATAGTATTTTTGCCCATTGCCGGTAGGCACGATCAGGAAAAGATGGTTGATTCTTCATTAGATTACTTCTCATATTTTTATCCTCACATTTTCATTATAATTATTTTGAAAATTTTCCTATATATTATTTTTAAGGTAACCAAATACTCACAACACATACTTGAAAATTTTTTCTAATTATTATGTGAAAATTCAAAAAATATAATAATTCAGAATAATCTATTCTTAATTTTAGGACAACAAAATTTAAAGCAGCACTCTATCGTGTAATTCACTTTACTATCTACTTCACATATACTATATTGGTCAGTATTTTATCTTTCATAGTACTCCATGAATTAAAACAATTTTGTTTTTATGATTTATCTTTAAAACTCTGCTTATATAGAATTCTCTTCAATAACTCACTTTATATAAAAATGAACCATCAAGCCTTCATAATGAGGCTGGTTTTATGCCACAATAATCCAATAATAAGCATTCAACTTACTTAAAGTCACTAAGAAAAATAAATTCTTTAAACAATGTTTAAGAGACACATAGAAATAAATTAGTACTATCATCCAAGAAGATAAATATTTCTTCTTAAACTTACATGATAACTGAGGTGGATTACAGATAGTTAAAAATCTTTTGTCACTCCCCACCTCAAACAGTGAACTTAGTATTTCCCTCTGCTTTTGAATCTGGCCTAGTCCTGTGACTCTTTTAACATGCAATGGACATGACCATGGCTGAGACTAGGATGAGCTGAGAGAGGCGCTACCCAGGGTACAAAGTTAAGTGGACACCAGAAACTTCAGTAATCAAGATAGTATTTTAACATTTTAAAATAAAAACTAATGCAGAAAAAAATTAATGATGAAAGACAAGGGCCTGGGACTACAGGGGAAGAAAGGTCCAACCTCTCAGCTAAGTCCAGTCTTTCAGGCATTCTCATTAAGGCACCAGACATGTAAATGAGTTCTTTTGGACATACCAGCCCTTTTGAACTACAGCCCCAGCTGTGAAAGTGTGAAGCAGAAGAACCACTTAGTGAATGCACAGATAATGATTGGTAGTAAAGTGGTTAATGTTTTAAGCTACTGAGTCTTTGAGTGTTTTGTAAGGCAGCAATATATAACTGAAACAGTGACATATGATCATAGTATGATCGTTAAATCAAAAGAAAGGATACTCTTAGGCGTAAAACGTTTGCAGTTTCTTACATGAATGGCCAGGCAGCCGACCTATAACAATCAAAATAAAAACACAGAGAATGAATGTTTTAAAGTTAATTTTCCTTTCATTTTACTGTCACCAAACTATATTTTTTAAAGTTTCACTTTGTTAGTTTTTCTCATTAGAAATTTTTTATTAGTAATATCTAGTCACAGATATAAAGCAGAAATACAGAAGAAAAATAGGCAAGATTTGTTCAAAGTAAACCTAAAATAAACAAGAATACAAAGCCAAAAATGGTTCATTTATTAACTTCAATACAGCTGTCACTGTCCAAATCATTTTCATTTTACATTAGGTAAGGACTGAAAAAACATAACATCTTGGGAATCCCTAGTACAGATAAAGTTTTTCTGCGAATCAGAATGTTTTCCATAATTTCAGTGATTATTAGAATGCTTATCTGACTCATAAAAATGAAAAATTCATGAATATGGTTATCAGAGACAGCCATTTTCTATTCATGCTTTTTGATACCATGCAATAAACATTAAATTGTCTTCATATGAAATAAGAAATAATTTATATGGGTTTATCAAGACTTAGTCATACATACCACATCCCCAAATGGCACCAAACTTGGTGTCTCATGTGTTACTTCTTGTTCTTTATTTCCAGACCCTTTAAGAGTTTTTCTCAGCATCTACAATGTAAATAAGTTGAGACTTTAGAAGGCAAAGAAGAATATAATTAGATAAAATACCACTTCTCAACAAGTATTTCATGAGTGTCTAGTATCAGATACTATATATTTTAGTATTATATATTATATGACTTGAAAACTCATCTCTACCCCCAAGTTTATTATTAAGTTAGCAGAGAAACAAAATGTGTACATTTAAATGTAAAATCATTAAGGTAATTGTGAGACAGGAGAGAAGTACATAATAGCATGAACAGTGAGTTCTCTTTGCTAACAAAAAATGATCATCTCAATCTAATATGGACTAGATCCTGTATCTCACAAACAGCAGTAATCCTGGTGTAAATTATTCCAATATTCCTTCAGTTATCAGCCACTGCAGGGACTGCAATTACATCCTTTGGAATAGTAGGTACCCTGGAAAAGACTAATAAATAGATGGCTTTTGGTTTTGATTGTGTGATTTCATCCAGAACAACTCAATCAAATATCTGTGGGTTGATATTTAACTTTGTGTTTAAAAGCTCCAGTCACTACACATAATATGGTTAGCATTTAAAAATTACAAGACACTTTAATATAGATTTTGAAAGTAAAGAGCAAGGGATGGGAAGGGGAAAGAGGGGAAAGGTTAGGGGAATAGTGAACAAATGGTCTATTAAAAAATCTAACCTAAAAAAGAGAATTATATTTACTCTCAACCATTGCTGAACTTGAATCAACATGGTCTTATCTATGAGGAAAAATTTCCCAAAAGCTTTGTTGTTATGTGTCTTTTAAGAATCACTTGTTTAATTCTTATAATATGCACAAATCCTTAGTTATGTTGAAAATTTTGTTTTAAAGGACAGAACAAACACTTGAGGTGTACTGAAAACATTTTTTTATATATCTTGGATCATTTTGTTATTGTTGCATCTGACTGGTTTAATGTGCTTTTTATATGTGATTAATTCACAGGTTAAGCTAACTTAATGACAATTACTGTACTGTTACAAAAATATCAATCTGTGTACAGTCTATGTGTATTTAATATGGAACCTCATACTTTCTAAAGTTTTAATGATCTTCTTATGGAAGTCTACTTTGAAAGTGAATCCTAATAACTACAAAATAATTAGGAAAAACTTCTTTAGAATACTAATACTCAATTTAGCCTTAAGAATCTGGCATTTTACTTAACAATCCCTCATTTTATTACCTTTTTTACTTTTCCTTCCTCATATGAGCAGAGCTCTCTTCAATGGCAGCAGCATGAGCAAAACAACTCTTTGCCAAAATTCTATTTAGAACCTTGAACAAAACTTCTAAAGACTAGTCTCATAAAGCCTCTGACACCACATAGAATTTCTCCTGAACCTGCGGAGAATTTTAATTCCAATTAATTCCACTTGCCTTTTCTCTCTGCCGCCTTTGGCCCCACCTTGAACAGAAGTCCCTCCTGGCACTTCTATTTAAAAGCCTCTACATTCACTTACATCGCTCTGCACTTTGTTTCCAACGGCCTTTCTGGACCACTCTCCCCCATTCCAGTTTTCTTTGAAAACCCACCAGCCTACAGGTTTACCTTTTCCTAGCATCTTCCCCCTCCTAGTGCTAATGGCAACCTCAGTATCCTTACATTAATTAGCATTCACTAGTATACTGGTAGGATTATATGCCTGGCATTATGCTGATTTCAGCTTGAAATGTTCCTGCCCTTGAGAAGTTCAGGCCAGTGTTGAAGACAAGTAAAAACACAAGGACAGTTTCACTATAAGAAAAACAAATGCTGAGAAGAGGGAGTTTATCTTTACTCATTCTCTGCACATTTCTTATACATGGAAAAACATTAATTTATTCGATTGGTCAGATATTGTCATTTATTGTACAAGCTACAGGTGCATGGAATTCTTTAAAACAGTTTGGGTGTTGCGTTTGCTAGTTGAGTAGGTCAGTCAATTACATTACCTTGAGTAGTAAAATATTTAGTCTACTTTGCAAATAGCTAAACATTGATCACAAGAAATTTCATGGCAAAGCCCTTTTAAAAAGTTGGTAAACATAAAAGATGCATCATACACTTTGGTTTTACAAAAAGAAATGTTTCAACTTGCTAAACTTTTCTTTGATGGCTGTCAGTAGTACACAAATTAGCAAATATTTTAAAATACATACTTCTTAATCTGTCCTTTCAGAGTAAGGTGGTGACATGTTAATGAGTATGAAAAAACTATCATTTTGAAATAAACTCACGTTAAGATGAGAACATTTTAAAAACTACCGGAAATATTTCCTTCTAATGTTTCTTTATGTGTATGCAAATGTGCTATGAGCACCCTAGAAGCTCACAGTATCACACTTTAAAAATTGAGAAACACTTTTGTTTAAAACATTCACAAATGAAGAGCTTTGGCAGGTTGTGTGCTGTGTGCTGTGCTTAGACACTCAGTCGTGTCCGACTCTTGGCAACCCCATGGGCTCCTCTGTCCATGAGGATTCTCCAGATCTTTACCAGCTGAGCCACCACGGAAGCCCACCAGCAGCTTAAGAGACATTTTTCCTTTTAAATGTAAAAAAGTGAAAGCCCTCCCCAGAGTTTACCAGAACTAATTAATCAGAGAAGTAACATTTTATGCAAAATATGTGAGCTAAAGACTTCGAACAACAAGGCAGAAATGAAAAAATGAGTACTGTGATTTAACAGGCTCAATGAAAAAACAGTGCTTCCAACTGGAATTTCAAATATTTAAAGGTATCTTTTCTAAATATAACAGCATTAAAAACCAAATACTGAAATAAATTTGCCTTAAACCACACCTTCAAACCACTACATCACTAAGTATTAAATCATGTTTTTCAAAAATAGCAATACTTATTGATTTCTGTACCACTAATAAACAAAATGAATTAAAAATCTGTTTTAGAAATATTGCTTATTTATAATTTTTAATTTTTGTATATTGTAGAATCTATAAAGTAAATTGCATTACATTTTATAATGTATAAATAAATATTCAAAACATTGGTTAAAGATGTTCACATATTTTTATTGATAATATTGTGCAGTCAAAGAAATTTGGAGAATACTGCTAAGAAGTCACATTTAGATGCCTATATCTCTCTTTCCAAATCTATCTTTCTGGAGGTTTGAAGCTGCCAGTTCCCACGTGTATGCCCACCTCAGCACAGTCTGCTCAGAATGAAGGTATTTCACCTTCTCCATCTGATAGGCCCACTGCCTTCAATATGATACAGAGGTAAGAATTCCATAGTAGTTTTCAACTGTGATTCATCACCAGAATGCCTTGGATGAAGGTTATACTTAGTTCCCTATTTGGTTGTCCACTTTTCTGAAAGTACTAACGGTCACAACTCTGGAGCTAAAGAGAAGCAAGGGTTATGATTCCGGTACCAAGCCCCATTCAGGATGCCTATAAACCATTGCATAAACACAGGGCAGATAAGGGGAGTGAGGAGAAAGAGTGTTAGCGAAGGAGGTGACAATATTTCAAGCAGGTCTGAAGAAGTAAAAAATTAAAGACTAGGGGAAGAGGAGCCTAGACAAAATAAATAAGTGTAAAAGCATAAAGAAGTTGTATTATATATATGTATATATATATATTTATATTACATAATATGTATATATTATACGTAAGTATAATATGTTATATATATTTATACATGCTTATATGTAAATATACATATCTACATATAAACATTAGATATTATTTTATATTTATATTATATATATCTATATAAATATATGTAATTCATTTCCTCAAATTGAGCTATAGTTTCATGCAATCAAAATCAAAGTTCCAACAAGTCTTCCTGTAGAAACTGATGAGCTTTTCCAAGACAATCTTGAAGAAAAACAGGATAACATACTTAAAAATTAAAGAAATAAAGACATTACTTCTTAAGGTCTAACAGCGTTAGCATGAAGTGAAGTGAAGTGAAAGTTGCTCAGTCGTGTCCAACTCTTTGAGACTGCATGGACTGTACAGTCCATGGAATTCTCCAGGCCAGAATACTGGAGTAGGTAACCTTTCCCTTCTCCAGGGGATCTTCCCAACCCAGGGATCGGACCCAGGTCTCTGGCACTGCGGGTGTATTCTTCATCACCTGAGCCACAAGGGAAGCCCTTGAAGAATTGGATTAGCATTAGCATAACAATAGACAAATGCACCAAAGAAACTCATTAGAGAGTCTGGAAACAAACATTTATGCAAACTTCACTTGTGACAAAGACAGAACTAAAGAATAGTGGGGAAAAAAACACTCTCAAATGAGTAAGTAGAAATTGCCACACAGAAGAAAGAGAAAGAAGAAAAAGCAGAGAGAGAGAAAGGAAAGAAGAGAAAAGAATGAAGGACAAAAGGGAAAAAAGAGAGAAAAAGAATAGAAAACCTGACTCATACCTCACAGTACACACACAGAATCAGTGAATTGTAGATCTCTATGTGAAAGAAAAAACAATTAGAAGATAACACAGAAGACTTCCATGATGTTTTCATGATATAGACAATTAGAAGGTGATATAGGTAGAAGATTTCTAAAACAGAACACAGACCAATAACCACAAAGAAAAAGTTGGAAACATTAAACTACATTAAATTTGATAACTTCTGTTTATTAAATGACACCATTAGGAAAGTGAAGGGGCTTCCCAGGTGGCGCAGTGGTAAGGAATCCACCTGTCAATGTAGGAGATGCAGGAAGCTCGGTTCCAATCCTTGGAGGAGGAAATGGCAACCCACTGCAGTATTATTGCCAGCAAAATCCCACGGACAGAGGAGCCTGGCAAGCGCAGTCCATGGGGTCACAGAGAGTCAGACACCACTGAGAACACACACACACACACACACACACACACACAGAGGAAAGTGAAAAGATAAGACACTGGAAGATTTTTGCCACATGTTTCGTATAACTGACAAAGGGCCTATAACTAGAATGTGTATACAAACGTATACAAACTAGTAAGAAAAAGTTAGACAATCCAACAGAAGAATGGG